ACTTATGAAGAATAAAGCAAGTATGGAATAAGGGAAAAACATTCGGCAACATCAGAAGCAGAAGCGTTGCGATCTGGCAACATTGAAACAAGTTTCGAGAAGGACCACGTGTATCGACAGAAGGCGAGAAGAGAAAATTTACATACTTAAGTACTAATAGTTCACGAAAATTATTATTTTCGTGAACTATTATTACTTAAGTATGTAAAAATTTATTACATTTCCTGTTGTACGAGGGTTTTACCCAATACTCGAATCGTGTCAGAGTAGATTCATGCTATAAAAGTACCGTGTTATACGGGGGATGGTACCAATTCTCGAACCATGTTAGAGTGAATCCGTGCTATAGAAGTGCCATGTTATACGGGGGTCAACTGTATTATGTGATTACAAACTGATCTGTTAATGGTGTCTTTTATTTGGATATCGCTGATGCCTTACCAACAACCTCTCTCATCCTCCACCATTTGAACTGACAAACCGATCCTCTTCTCATGGGATCAAAAGAACAAAAATGCCATCCAGTGACAAAGTGGTTTTCACCAAACCATTGCTGGTAAAAGAGGTACGACCTTGTCCTACCTCCGTCTACCCACAAAGGATTTGGCAACAGACTGTTACCTCTCTGTCGACATTGGCTTCTCTGGTGTAGTTTTGACCTACACCAAAGCTTATCTGTGCTTGTCGACATACACCAGCATTGTTCGAATGCATAATAATATAGCCAAATATTCGGTCTTTCCCCAACGTATTTCATATGTGTCGACATTCACCAGAGAATATCGACATTCACTAATTTCAGTCTTTCACATTAACATATATATATCAGAAAATCATCTAAATGTAGTGTAAATTATGAAGTTCTTAATAATCTTTCAAACTAATGAACATATTTCTATATACCTTTCTTTTCTATTTCGCCTATTTTGTTTAACATAATTGACAGGAAGACTAGATGGTCCTTCTACTAAAGGTGAAGGAGGAGGACTGTGTAAAGCAGATCCAGTACTTTCTGATGCAAGGCTTTCAGGTTCAGAATCTTCATGAATTCCACTACTCCTGAAATAAAATTATATTTAAAATCTTACATTAAAAAAAATTAATTAATTTCTCTAAGAAAACCTTATACCCATCGGAATCCTTTGATTGCTGTCGTTGGAAAACTTCGGGTTTTGTTTTTGTGACTAAATAGGATTTTACATTCCAATCAAATTGATTGGGGTTATCTAACAGACTAGCAGACATTGCTCTTCTAGGACGAACTATTATTGCTTTTTGACTATTTTCCTGAAGTGATGCCCTTTGTTTTTGATGATTTTCCCATAAATATTGATATCTAGAAATTAAAATTAAAGTTAAATTAAGTAATTAATACATTATAAAGTAAAATTTATAATTAACTTTGCATTTAACTTTAAAGAATTTTAACTTTCCTTAAAAATTTTACTCTTCCTAAATTCACTGGGGAAAAAATTAAATGATTAAATAACGAAGTTATATATCTACTTTAAACCAATCATCATCAATGCTGTGTTTTTTTTTAATATTCATAACTTTTTAATCTTTAAATGCAGATATTCTCAATGGAATAACCATCTCAAAATTCTCAACAGATAAAATTAAAATGAATGAAAAAAGTATCTAAATGTTTATATGTGTGTTTTCTAAAAATTAGACTATTTGTACAATAATCTCTCTCTTTCTATACCTTAATAATATCTAAAATAATGCAATATCCTTAGAAATCTTGCTTTATGATATATTTTTTAATATCCGAGAACTTACAATAATATTGCATTTAATTAATTCAATATGGCTCTACTTTTAGCAAAAAGTAAAAACATTAACCACCTAGCCATCCAGTTGTTGCTCAGTTATAATTAAAAAAAAATACAAATCTAAATCATTAATATACAGTAGATCCCCTATAACGTGGGTTCCAATAACATAGATTCCTATGACGCGGCGAAAAAATTGCATCAGTATTCGTACAAAGACGCTAAAAGGGACGCGTAAAATGTCATCGCCAACTCATCATCGCGGACGAGCAGCTGAACTATTTTCCGCCGTCTAGCGCCACGCTACAGAGAGTTTGGGCGGGTAAGTTGAGTTTAACTATCGTCTGTACAGTATTATATATAAATTAGGTACTGTACATATAATTATATATTAATTATATATAAATTAGGTACTGTACATATAATTATATATTAACTTAATTTATTGTAACTTTATTATAATTATATATATAATTTCCGCTGTCTAGCGCCACGCTACAGAGAGTTTAGGCGAGCTATCGTCTGTACAGTATGTAAATTAGGTACCGTAAGTCTAATACAGTACTGTAATTTTATACATTTCTTGTGAAAGAAACATTTCTTATTCAACGACGATTAAAATTATTTATATTAATGATGTCTCCAAAGTTCAACAAAGTTTTCACAGAAAAATAACATCTGAAATCGCAACCGCGGTTTGCTGTGCTGTTCTGCGACGAAAACAAGCTTGAGCAACAGCGATGTCAAATGGTGCACACTCGGTAAGTAATCCTACAATTTTTTGTTTATAGCGTAGTTTATACGGATTATTTTCAAAAAAAATATACGTATTTTGGAAATGTTAAGTCGAATTAGTCTAGAATCAATTAATTTTATGGAAGAAAACCTTTCAAACAGCCGTAATCTGTAAACTTCACACGTGTCAAATACGTGAGCCAATCACAGCCCAAGGATTCCTACAACGCGAAATTCGTACAACGAGGAACGTATCTTTGCGTTATAGGGGGGTCTACTGTACATTAAAAAAATTGTCATTCAAAATTCACACATCTTGAGCTTCAACAGAAATCTTAAAATTTATAAAAATTAAAATATCATTAAGATTTATTTGATATAAAGAAAATTTGTTTATCATAAATTACAATCATATCATGATCAGAATATATTTTTTGTTGTAATATAATATACTGTTTAAAGTTTTTTGTTTGTGAATCACAATTTTATCAAAAACTGATTATTTACAAAAACTTTGTTTTTTCTACTGCTAAATTTATACAATAGTAACAATCTGTTTGTTTCAACACTGCAAAATTATTTGAATGATGCAATTCTTTTATGCAAACCGAATCTCAATAGTACTTTTGATTCTGATATTTATAAATTCATTAAAATAATTATAATATTAAATCATATATGTAAAACCAAACATATTAAAGTATATTTTACTTTTTTCGATTCAAATAACCCCGACAAGCAGCTTGTATAACAATACATCCCCTCTGCAATTTTCTGTACCATTTTCTAATACGATAGCCACGCCACACACGCTGAATGCACAATGCTGCAAGTATCTGCAACTTCATGTTAATTAACTTTTGTTGTGCAAGATATCTTCTAATATTTTTCTGAAATAATAATTAAAATTATTAAAATTTATGAATAAATGAGAGAGTATTCATAAGTTTATTAATAGTTTACAAAAACTTCTTATAATTTTTTAAAAATTAATTTTACAATAACCAATAATTTAATGGCAATTCAGACATTTTGAATAACTATTACTAAATAGATGTTTATTGTAATCAGAAATAAGAAAACTAATTTTATTTTCATCATTTTATCAAGAAGAATTAGTGTTTGACATTTCAAAAAAATAATAGTAGTGTATGGCAACAAACACTTTAGCAAGTAATGCCAAGTTAAAATTTTTATAATATAAACTATAAATCTAATTCAAAAACAAACTAAGAACCAGACAACATATGTGAATGACCCTAAACAGAAGACAATTTTATATCATTCCATAATATATCAAATGCTTAATTTATAAATTAATTTATATATTTTTTATCAGGCTAAATCAGTGGTTTCTAAAGTGGGCATACTGCCTCCCACAGGTAGTTAGTAAATCAAAAAGGGGGGCAAAAAGAAGCAAATGGGCAGCAGAGAGGTGCTGAAAGTAGAATACTAAACAGTGACCACAGGCAAAGATTGAGAGGAAGTCACTGACAAATTTTCCCTTTCTTCTTTTAAAACAGGTAAGAAGAAACATTGCATTTAATGGTTTCCAGATGTGGAGAACAATGTATGGTAAAGATATAAAATGTATTTCATAAAAAAGTTTTTCTAAGAATATTTCCAAGCCTTTCTCATACAAGGGAAAATAAGTTAGGGGGTATTGGGTATATATAACTTTATGGAACCAAGGAGACAGTGGCTTGAAAAAGTTTGGGAATCACTGGGCTAAATTACACTTATCCAGAGAAACATATTTGAAGTACTAAATCTTTGCTTCTATTTACATATATAATCTTAAAACTGATATGCAATTTTTATCTTAGTTTCATTCCCAAAGTTATAATTAATTAAAACTTTCAGGTAACACTCAAGTTTTTTGTAAAAATTAAGCACGAGTTTTTCAATTTTTTTTTACATATATCATTTAAAAATTCTTCAAAAAATAATCTGTTTCAAATTTAATAATACTATGTAATAAGAAATAGCAAATGATATTTATCAATCTTCAAATTTCATATTTTTAGAGATTCATTAGAATAATGAAAGATGTAATCATGCACACTTCTTTACATTTTTATCATTTCAACTACACAAGATCATATAATACTAAAAAAAACTCACTAATACACCTTATCTTGCAGCCGAAGTTTATTACTTTTAACGTCTTCGGCTGCAAGATAAGGTGTAGTAGTGAGTTTTTGATATTATAGTATGCAGTCTCAAACGATTTTTTCATATAATACTGTAAAAAAAAATATAACATTGTATAATTCATTTGAATGAATTGGATGAAATAAAATGTTATACTTTTATTTATTAAAAGGAAATTCTCTTTTATAGAATACATATTCAGCTTTTAAAAATCATGGTGTTTTCTGTTTTGTTATCCAAGAGCAATGCAACAAGGTCACAACTGTTGTTTGTATACACAAGAAACTTGACGGCAAATGGCACTTGTACACAATCTGGTTTCAGTACTTACAGGAGCCCAAATTTTTTTTTATCTGTTCACTCTTGAACAGATTTTTTTTTGAACAGAACAGAACTCTTGAACACTTTTTTTTATCTGTTCACTCTTGGTATGACTCTTCAGAAAAGATCTTCCTTTTAGGTATTTAATGAAAAAAGATGCATAATAGTTTTGGGGCATATTAAAAAAAAAAACTAAAAATGAATAACAAAACATTAAATTTGTTGTTATCCATGCTAAACTACACACTACACAATGATGAAATTCAATTTAGACTTCTCATTATTTAAAAAAAAATCAAAATCACAATTTATAATTTTAAAAATCTTTTAGTATTTATGTTTTCCAAGATTTTTTTTGCTGTGAGTACTTACAAATTTCCAGTCTGGCTAAAAAATGCTATAGTACATTAATTCAAAGTTCATGCAAATTATTCCTTTTCCCTTCAATTTTGAGTGCAATAAGAGAGGAGGGAAGTAATTGAAATGATAAAAATTAAGGATTTCAAACAGTATGTACTTTTTACATTTTTTCTATGTTTAATTATTAGGATACATTTCTTGCTTTATTGTATTACCTTGACTTCAAATTGGTTTTTTTATTTTTTAAGTCAAAGGCAATTTATCACAAAGTAATCCATTTTACTTTTGATAATGCATTGTTTAGTTGCTGGAGTTAGTTTGTTTCACATACGTGTAAGGCACTAATGTCTAAGTTGTCAGATTAGCACATTGTATTTATCAGAACTGGAGTTTACTGTTTAGCAGTCAAATGGAGGTTATTTCTTATGATTTGTTCAAGAAATGCTAAAGCTAGGATAGCAAAATGGACTCACTGATATCTATTTTGTTATCCGTGTTGTTAATTTTCCTGTAAGGTCAAACATGTAATGTACTGTATGTAATGTAGTGTGCTGTAAGTGTGTTGGAACAACAAAACAGACTGATTAAAAGTCTTTTGTTATTCCATCTATTCACTTTTTTTCAAACATGCCTAACCAAAAATCCAAGCACATTTTCCTTCTTTTATTAAATCTCTAAAAAGAAACTTTTCTCCAAGAGTCCATACTAAAGTAGAGTTTAGATGCCTTTGCTGCTGTAATTGTAGATAATCAATGAAAACAACATAGTGTATGCAAACTATTTGCTATCATGCCACATAGTATGATTGTTGATAGCAGTGTCATGTTTAGGGATTGCAATCCAGCAGTGTTTTTAATCCAGCTGGATCCAGCACAGATCCAGCTGGAATGATGCACGGATGTTTTTTGGTGTAATAAAGTGTTATCTATCTATCCAGAAATTTATGGGTTTTTTTTTAAAGAAATAAAGCATTTTTTTAAATACTTAAGAAACTTATTATTATTTAGATTGGTCACTATAAATCAGTAAAACTTCCTACACATTTAGGTAGTAACTTTGGTTTGGTTTAACACTTGAGATAGAGATAATTAACTTTAAATGTTTAAAAAGATTATAATTATAATGTAATCTTTAAGTTAAATAATAGGAAAGATAATTCTACAAATTAATTTGTATTAATATATTATATTATAATAATATAAGGATGGATAATCAGTGGCTAAGTGGCTATCAGTCTTACCAGTTTTCTTGTATAGGCTCTACGTATCAGCCTGTAGTTATTTATAAGTAATTTAATTATTAGTGTTAGTAAAGTAGTGAGTAATTAGTAGTAGTCTACCATGTAGTAGTTAGTTATTATTATCACAATCATGAATCACATACATCATATCATCATATATCTAAGATACCGATACTCATTAATTTAATTAACTATTTAACTAACTACAGGTAGTCTCAGTTTCTCACTAATTTTCATATTAAAATTTCCTAGCCTAGCCCACTAACCACTTACAGAATAAAAGTTAAAAACTCTTACTTAATAGAACTAAGTAGAAGTTATAAAATATTAGTCTTGTCTTGAATAAAGTATTTTAAAGGATTAAATAAAATTAAATCAATCACTTCTGTTATTTTTGACTTTTCTGGAAGTAGGATCTCAAGAAACAAATGGTATTGATGGTGTTATCTCCCAACCTATGTCTTAATGAACTGCATATATATCCTGCTGCGGAGAATATCCTTTCTGCCTCTACGCTAGTTGGTTTTAGTGTCATCAAATAATGATAAATCAAAGATAAGTTTTCACCTCTGACTCCCTCACTTTCATAAACAGCCATTTCCTTTTTTAATAACTTATAATCCTTCTCAATACTAGTTTGTTTCTGTTTCATGAAGTTTTCTTTCTCGCACTTTAGTTGAATCTCTAATTCTTGTTCCAATGTGAAATTCAGGAAATCCAAGTTATCTGGATCATCATTTTCCACCTCTGTAATATCCTCTACCATTGCTGCTGGTTCCACTACATATGTATTTACACAATTCAGCATAGTTTTCATCTCCTGGCGCATTACATTTTTTTTCGGCATGTGAAAGATAAGGCTTTCTAACTTTTTGGTCATACTTCTTTGGGTTCTGTATGTAAATCAGCATCCCTTGACCTCGGTAAGACTGTGATTCTGTGATTCTTTTGTGGAGTGCCTCGGAAAGATTGACACTCAAGATTGTGTCCTGGCTTTTTAGTCTGTCTAAGACAAATTTCAGGGTTGTGTCAGCAGTTATCAAACGCGACTCTTCTGAAGAAAGATTCTACGGCCAGTTTAAACTGCGATCGTTCCGTCACGTGATTCATTGATGTCACAACTGACCGTAAATTAGAATTATGCACCAGGACTAGGATAGCAGTTACTTATTTTATTTAGAGCAAAGACACTTTATTTAGAGAGAGCGGAAAGTCAATTGGAAAATAGATCAGCGGAGGTAAAAGGGCTGACAGTGTGGTGTAGAAAGGAGGTGTAGCACGTGCCGCACTGAACAGCAACGTCGCCCTCACCGCCAAGTGATAGTGCACGTAGCAAAGCGGCAAGGCCGACAACATAGACTTTTGCGCCATTATTTAGAAAGTTAATTGAGTATTTGCGGATCCTCGGCGCTAGATCCAACAGGCCGAAAAATGTGCTGGATCCAGCAATTGCAATCCCTAGTCATGTTGCATATAAATAACAAAACAGAAGAGTACCAAAAACTAATTTCATAAATTGAAGAAACATCAAGAAATATATAAAATAAATTTAATTAGTTAGTTCTTTAGCCACTTAAGCATACCAACTGCATTAATTTTCTATGTAAATAATAATAACCTTCTAATATCAAATTAATATATAAAATAAATTTAACGAGTTAGTTCTTTAGCCACTTAAGCATACCAACTGCATTAATTTTCTATGTAAATAATAATAACCTTCTAATATCACCCACCTCTCAACAGCAGCCATTTTCTACGTCCGTTGTTCAGAGGTTTGACTGTATTATAATGAATTTATATTATTTTTAAGGGTATAATTTTTAAATTATACCCTTAAAAAATGCCAAGAAACTCTTCTGAATACTGTACAGTACATAAAATTCTAAACTGGTGTTAAAAAGTTATTCACTTTAAAGCCATAATTTTATAGTAAAGAACTATAATTTTATTCAGTAAAGATTTATTTTTATATATTTTAAGTTTAATACATACATACATAACGGATTTCACGTAAAAGAAATCTAAATATATTAGTTTATCTGGGTTATTATTATGGGTTAGTTGTCAAAAGCTTATAATAAAAAAGAAGTTCATCTTGACAGGGATCTTTTCTTGAAAGAAAAATACTTTTCTCTTTTAACAAGCGCAAGAGTTGTTTGTCTCCTAAAGTTTGTCTGGTAACTATGCCCTTTCTAACACATGGATCTTGGTTATCATTTGAAAAACGACTTGTTTCTAAGGGATGACGCGTTATAGATCATTCAGTAAAAGTTCTTTCTAAGTTAAGTGTAGCGTATTGAGTGTTTTCTATCCTTAATGGTCACACATCTAATCAGAACTTGTTACGTAATTTTCTTATCCATTTCAAAATAACTTTATTATGTAAATTTTTAAAAAAAATTCTGTCTAAAACAGGCGTATATGTATATCATATCCGTTTGTTTTTCTAACGTTACAAACTAGTTTATTAAATCAGTAATGGTGTAAGAGGGAATTTTTACTTTCATAAATCACACCTGGGTTATGTTAAAAAAAAATTTCAATAATTTAAAACTTGAATTTAATAAGACAAGATGCAATTCAATCTTCATCTAATGGTAATATATATATATGTTTGCGATTTACATCAGAAAATACTGATGTTAAGACTTTAAAAAAAAATAATAAAATTGCATTTTTCATCAGTTGCATGACGAGTTTTTTTTTATATATATGATAATTGCCGATCTAAACTAAATTCATAGGCTGTTGATAGCGTTGCATGACGAGTTTTTTTTATATATATACTAAAATGAGAAAACAGCATCAAACTTTTTAATATAATCACTTTTACAGGCAACAATTCCGAAGAGAGCACTCCATCAACCAATACTGTCATTGTATCCTGATCTGTAGTCCAACCAAGTCTGTAGTATTTATTTAATATTTGACTTTTTATGAAATGTTGCTGGATGTTTCATCATTCAGTGACAGTTCTCAATATGAGGATAGTAAAAGTGAAGTTTGATAAAAACCTCTTATGCAACTGGCTCCTTTGATAAGAATTTTCTCTACCCCCAAAAAAGGAAGAAAAACCTTCAGAAAATGATCTGGTTTTACTTGAACAAAGAAAATTTGTTTATTTTCTACACTTTATACAAGTCATCATTTAAATTTTCTAACATTTTTTTTCATTATAAATAAATAAANATGATTTACTGTGAGATCATTCAACAAATATTTATTTTTTACAAGAACTATTATATTAAATCATTTAAAGGGGAAAAATAAACACATTAACATTTACATTTCATAAAAATATATTATTTAATAATATATTTCATCTTAGTATGACACCTTTTTTACTTTCTTTATATTCTGAAGGGAGTATCCTAAATACGGTGGAACCTCATTTAACGAGCAAAAATTGCCTCACTTAATGAGGAGAAGTAAAGTCCTGATGTGTGGGCATGTTCCATCAGTCTGTGTTTAGCTCTCATTCCGTTAGCATCTTAGCATCACTTGTAATCATATTTTTCCAAACTTGTGTTCACACATCTATACCAATATTATAAAGAGGTAAAGTTTGTAAGTTTGGATGTAGGAGGTAATCTCCGAAACTACTCATCCGATTTCAAAAATTCTTTCACCGATATTTAGAATGGACCTTCAGGGTGGACATAGGCTGTATATTATTCCATTAAACATTCATATAAATTAAAAGATATCATCCAGGTAAGTGTTATATTTTTGGTGTCAGCAGGTGGTGAGGGGCAAGACACGTACATATACGAGATAGGTAACCATGTAGCGTACTCATGTGGTTGGTGAGATATGCAGTGCACATGTCCAAACTTGTAGTATATAAAGTTGACACGGGGAATGCATGCACATAAGTTTGCTTTATTCAAACTCTTAGTCTTAATGATCGATTTTATGTTAAAATTTATATTTATGTAAACAACATATACTAATAAATATCAGTACATATAACAATAACATACCCAAAACCTTTAGAATTTCCAGTATGAAACAAATAAAATCCCAGCCAGGACCCAAACAAGAAACACAGAGTTATACAATACAACAAATACCTGCATTCCCTTTACAAGGAAATAGCACAAAAGAAAAGCACCAAATTGGCGTACTTGAGAACAAACTATTTACTTGCTTCTGAGGAACATGAAGGACACACTGGATAATTGGAAAGCACCAGGGGTGTACAGTATCCCGATAAGGGGTCACAGATTCCAAAGAGATCTTGTCTATATTGGATCCACCACACTATCTGTTCGAAAAAGGGTTACTGAACATAGATATGACATCGACAAAAAATGACACACCACCGCCCTGTCATCATACACCATGGACCCAATATAACAGCCAACTTAAATAGCACCAGTCTCTTAAATCATTCAAAACAGACCATATCAGGGCCTTGGAAACCCTTGAGATTTATAAAGCAACCAAGTCAGGGATTAGTATAAATTTCAAGGATAGTAACATAATATCTTATGTGTGGTGCTATATTTGTGATGAGCATCCACACACAAGTAATCATATATTATTCCTTGGAAGATGGTCCACATTATTATTACGGAAGACTTCTGTCTACTTAATTAATTCAAAATATTTGCTCTTTATTACACACTAGAAAAGATTTAATTTTTTGTATTCAAAAACGTTCTATATTCTCAATATTCCATTTTTAAAATGACAACAAACCTGATGAAGATCTTGGTTAAAGACTGAAAATGTTAGTTCAGTGACTTTATTTCGTACCAGAAATTTTAAAGGTTTTGGATGTGTTATTTTTATATTTATGAATGATTTGAAAAGGTCCAACTTATTTTTCGAATTTAGTAAACTAGAAGAAGAACCCAGAAGGGGTTTACGAAAACATTTGTTATTTATCACTTAGAAGTACTATGCACTGGTTAGTAGTTGCTGTGAATCTTAATTATCATTATCCCAGTGTGGTAAGCAGATAGCGAAAAATTTTCTAATTAGTCTAGGAAAGGGGGACTTAATTCTTGCACTTGGTGAAAATGGGTAAGATTGGCTATAATCTAATGATCTTAATCTTTGCTATCATTTTTGTTCGAGCAATACTGGGCTCATCTGCTAGTATTACATATAAACATCACCAACCATAGCCTGTTATATAATAAACATGCCAAACGATATACCAAATTTTTGGGCTATGAGAAGGCTATAATTAAATAATAGAAATTGTTTAATTTGACTAGAGGTAAGCAATTATGCTACCATCTCATATTAAATTTAATGACCAATTCCAGAAATGTCTAAATTAAAAATTAATTATTTATAATTATTAAATTTATAATGAGATGGCAGCATAATTGCCTATGTCTAGTCAAATTAATTAATTCTCTAATATTTAATTATAGCCTTTACATAGCCAAGAATTTGGCATATCATTTGGCATGTTTATCAGACATATTATCTGTAATTTTTTTTTTTTTTGGTTTTCTGCATATCAAATTTTTATTTCAGGTTGGTTCATTCTGCACTAGAAGAAGAAAAAATGATAATGATTTACACTCCTTAACAATGCACATTGTACAATTTTCTTTGAATAAATATTATACATAAAATATTTGAGTATTTTTTTCAGCGTGGAATGCATTATCGTATTTTACATTAATTTCTATGGGAAAAATTGTTTCGCTTAACAAGTGTTTCGTATTAAGTGTACAATTCTGAAACAAATTATGCTCGTTAAGCAAGGTTTCACTGTATTACTATCTAAATTTATATTAAAATTAATCTTACTTGCAAAATTATGGCAGCAACTTTCATCCGTTTGAATCGTCGGTGAATTAACCAAGTTCGGACCCATCTTTGTAAAATTACAATATGATGAAGAATAGTTTGATGAAGGCACTCATCAAGTTTTAATTTTTCACTTTCACGAAAAAATACCTAAAAATTAACCAAATTATGTATTACAAATGTTCATTTATTAATATTTATTAATTATTCTGGTTATTACCAAATGTATTTTTGTTAGTGAGAATGATAACTGTACTTTAAATTTCTTCTAAAAACTTACAAGGAGAGCCTACGGCTTTGGGGTAACGGATTTTGATGATCTTTGGTGTAGAGGTAGTACACCATGTGAGTGTACTACCTGTAAAATACTAAAGTGCAATACTCAAATATAATCAGTTTTTTTAGCACTTTATGTATAAATTATACGTACTTCTATTTGAGCGTGCTGTGGCAGAGTGGTAACGAGTCTGATTTATAAACTTGAGTTCTCGGGTTCGATTCTCACATATAATCTTTTTTTTTTTATGCAAGAATCGAACCCGAGAACTCAAGTTTATAAATCAGACTCGTTACCACTCTGTCAAAGCACGCTCAAATAGAAGTACGTATAATTTATACATAAAGTGCTAAAAAAACTGATTATATTTGAGTATTGCACTTTAGTATTTTACAGGTAGTACACTCACATGGTGTACTACCTCTACACCAAAGATCATCAAAATCCGTTACCCCAAAGCCGTAGGCTCTCCTTGTNCAGTTAACCGACGTTGCAGATAACTGGCTTTCGGATAAATGACGCTCTACTGTATAATGTTAAGATTCCAACTGATTTAATAATTAAAATATGTGAATACTTTGCAAATATTGGCACACAATAAAATATTAAAATTATTACAATTTATATTAAATTACAAATAATAATATTTAACAGTCAATCATCACAAATCATATAATACGTTACAAAACACTAACAAAACAAAACAAGAATAATAATTAAGTCAATCATCATATGATTTATGGTGATTGACTTAATTATTATTCTAGTTTAATGTACTTAGTGTTTTGTAACATATTTATTAAAGAAAACACAATGTCAGAAGATTAGATTATGTAATCTAATCTATAATGCAGAAGACATACACTAAGATAATGTTTCTCACAAATGTGAAATCCGGAATTTCTACTGATTTTTTTCTGGTCAATATCCCATTATTACCTAAAAACCAATTAAATTCCCCTATAAAAAATAGAGTGGAAACCAACTTGAAAGAGGGAGAAATTTTAACCTCCTCTTTTTTCAAGGTAAATATTCACCCATCTTGACAACTATTCCCACACTATAAACTTAAAAGTTGATAGTTAACATACAATTGCGTCATTTTATTTGGGTTCCGGGGACAACTCTTACCTCCCTGCACACCTTTTACCTCTCAATTAGCTAATCATATGATAGTTTTCCCATCACGAAATGATAAAAGCCACTTCTCTCCCCCCTTGGGGAGAGTTGTTTCGAGGATTTAACTTTAACTTGTGCCCTATGTTTGTGCTCTAGGATATCCACATCTAGAAAGAGATATGGAACCCACTTCTGTGAACTCTCTCTCGGTCCCTTCATGCTTTAGGAACTAAGAATTTCCACTCTGAATTCCGCGATGATAGATTATTGTATAGTCTATGTAATTAACCAGTAAATCATTGTTTCATTGTTAAATTGGTGTCCTCTTTAACTCGTATATCGTCTGTTGCCTTTCTGACGGCACTCCTCCCTCCTCTTCTCAACCCGAAAAATTTTGGTCCCGTTCCATTGGGATAAACGAAAGAAAAAAATTAAGCCATCTCTGACTGGTGGGCAAGTCCCTCTGACTTGAAAGCCGATCCAAGGAGGTATGACATGGTCATACCCCCCAGTTCTCACACAAATTTACAGTATATTGAAGCAATAATATAACTAATAGCAAAAACATTTAATCTGCATTTGCTTTTTGAATATAACTGATTAGTAAATAGATTTTTTAAATACATTTGCACACTGTCTATCTGGATTGTAATTTAATTTAATCATCAAAGAAATGTTAAATTTTTAAATTTGACGTTTCTTGTGCAGTTTATAAAACAGGTCATAAACTGATTTTTATAAAATATAAACTGATTGCAAACTTACTTAGTAGAACTATTTTTTCGATTTTGACGAAGGCAATTTTCTTTCATTTTATTCAGTTTTGAATCTAAAAAAATAAATTTAGATAAGTAAAATAATTCCAAAGAAATAAATTCTGTTTATGTTCAAATAAACTTTAAATAAGCTATAAAATAAAAATGAATTCAAATAATTTTTTAAAGATAATTAAATTTAAAACTTCACTTTTAGGATCTGTAGCTGATTGATGTAATTTTAAAAATGCAAAATGAGCTCTAAAGAAAGCTCGTAATATTGCCCAACGAAAAACAGCCACTGGATCAGTTCCAACCAATTCTCGTACAAGAGTAAAGCTGCTACTTTTCAGTAATAAAACAAAATATGGCCTCATAAGTTCCAGATTCTTCTCTCTAAAATCCTGTTAATTTCATAAAGTTTAATGTTAACTAATTTGATTATAACATTACATTAAAATTATTATTAATTTCAAAATTTTATTAAAATATAGTTTAGAATTAATTTATNAAACTCATACTCAATAATGCCTTTATTTATCCAGAAAAATTTTTCAAAGTTTAGTTGTGAAATTTAATTTCAAATATTTGACTATTTCTGATAACTATGATAGACAGTTTAAATCTGATTGTTTTTATAACACTAGATTGTAGTTCAAATTCACAAATATGTAGTAATCATCTTTGTCTTCTTTGATATTTTGGTAATTATATTAACATTTGGTAAATAAACTTTCCCGATATTTTGAATACTGAATTTCACATCATCATCATCATTATACAGGATGCAACCATATTCACATTGTTTTAAAACACACATAATGAGTAAATAAATGATATTTATTGTACTCAGTAACAAATAGTAATCAAGTGTAAATGCATTAATTATGCATCAAGCAATGGCAGTAAGGCTAATGAGGTTAGCTATATCATAATAAGTATATAAAAAAAAATCAATTTAATCTTAACATCTCTTCATTTATATCCTTTGTAAACTAACAATATTGATGTTTTTCTTGTTTTTGTTCCAATGTAACATTTTCACATAAATTCTAAAACTGATTTCTATAAATATGTAACTATTTTTGAAATTATAAACAATATATTTGAGATTTTTGTACAGATCACATTTCTGAAAAATTTACATTTCAAGAATATTAGTCTTCATTTATGCATAAGTAATTTGTGCAAATCTTTACTTAGGTCATAAACAAAAATTCAAATCAATACAAATTAGCCTACAAAAATATATGTAAATTCCTGTAGGAATTTTAATATGTTTGTATTAGAAGATTCTCATTGCTATCAAGTATCCAGGTACCCAATTTCTTGAGTGATAAGTAGTTTTATGCCCAATATCTGAGAATGAAAATCTTTTTCATTGTTTCTAATGTTCAGTATTATTTATTGATATAAGATATTAATAATTATTTCATTTCATAAAATGGAAAACTACTTAGTTTTTAATAATTACTGATAAAGATAGCAAGAGCTTTTGCTTGATTTTCCTGGTACTCATTGTGACACCATCTATTGATATTTTATTAAAAAATAATTTTTATACTACTGATTATTATAAAATGGCAAACAGATTATTTTTGAAATAAGAACAAGTTTATAAAAAAATTATAAGTGATAATAATGAGCAAAACTTTCATTAAGACTAACCCCACTTGAGATATGACACATTACACCTTCTATCTTTTTTCCTCTTGACCTTTAACTACCAAAATTTAATAGCATCAATGCCCTATAGAAATAAACTTGCCAAGTTTCAATTTCTGGTTCATCCAGTCCTAAGATATAATGCAAAATTGACTCTGATACACACAGTTTAATAAAGATTTTTGTATTTTTAAATCCTGGAATGCCAAAACATGAAAAATTCAAAAAAACAGATTAAAATTTGACCAATACTTTTCCTATGTTAATTTCTAAAACAGTCAGAAAAGTAAATAAATGTATTATCAATCAGCAAAATCTGTGGCTTTTTCATGACTATTGACCCATTTCATGATTTCATGACAAGTAGACACCCTGAATATATAACAGAATTGCACAGACATTAATACAACTAAAGTACTTTTTGCTGTAAAGTCAAAATATTTAATTATAAGTTATTTAAGAAATTTAAAATTTCTACTATTCATCATCATAATTATTGTTTTAGCTTTACTACTACTACTGTTATTAATTATTTCCACAGAGTTACTTATTTTTAATTAAAACTAAATTCAGATTAAAATGTACTGTTTCTTGCACATGATTGTTACAAATAAAACTAAAAGTAAAGAATATAACAAAATTTAATTCTAGTCTAAAAACTTAATACAGTGCGTGATCGGTTAACAAACATAATCTGTTCCAAGACTTTGTTCGCTATCCGAATTGTTCGTTAACCGATTATCAATTTACCATAGGTTTTAATGAGAATTTAATTAATTTGTTCCGGAGACCCCCAAAAATAAAAAATATATACTTTCTAACTACGTTTATTTTATGTAATAATAAAAATACATCCAACACAGTCTTTCATTTTTATTAGTCATGTTTTTTCTGTTTGAAAGGGTTAAAGAATCTGTCTAATGTTGATTGCTTTTCTCTCTTCTTCAGGATTTTTTGTAAGTAATTAATAGCATTGCAATTGTAGAAATCCCCAAGCCTCAAGCTAATTTGGATTCCATTCTAAGACCATTGTTCTGACATCCTTGCACTTCTTCAAAGGATCTTTAATAACAAATATCGGCATTAACCCTCTTTTTTAGAAGAAAACATATCTCACCGAGTTTCTTGGTGTTCTTCATTCAAGAGTTCTTGGCGTTCTTCTGTTGTCAGATCCATTTCAGGTTCCATTATGAACTTTTTGATGTTCTTTATTTCTCGGATATAATTTTTATTACTCCTTTAGCCACTTGAGTCTTCTTGATTATACAGTATTTTTCTTAAATAAGATTGAACTGCGGCCTACTGTAAACCTGTTCACGCCATACTGCCCAGCAACATTTGGCATCTTCTGCCCACTCTCTACATTTGCTATTATACTCTCACCTTTCAAAAAGAAAAACAGACGCAAAACTTAACAAGTGCCTACCCGACAGTCTCGTGAATACATAAAAGAATTGTTTTGTCACAAAAATAAAAGGCTGGAATTACAAGGGAAAGTTTCAAAGTTCAGAAGAATCCTATACGATTGGTATATACCGGCTTGAGCGTCGATGTCGACGTCTCCCACACTCCAAAAAGTTTTGAATTGTTGCCCGAAGACAAGGGAAGGCCAATCGGTATTCATTATTTTACGTTGCTTCTTCTTGTGTTTGTTCTGTGGAGTGTTTGTTATCCGATCATAAAAATCTTTCACGAAAGTGTTCGTTATCCAATCACCCACTGTATTTATTTAATTATCATTTCTGATTCTGAACCATTTTTCAATGAATCAGTGAATAAAATTAAATATGCTGTACCTTTGTTTTTCCCATTTGATAATTATCTTCGTTAAGAGACATATTAGTAAGAAAATTAGATATATCTAATTGTGAACTAAGAAGGCCTTTTGGAAGCAATATTCTGTATCTTTGTATAAATTCCTATATCAAAAATGAAAAACTGTTATTATTCAGTTTACACATTAATTTCCTATGTATATGTAAATCATGAATGTTATTGCAAAACTTTTAGTTATTGTAAATTCACAACATTCAATTACTGTTATAATAAAAAAAATTATTATATAAGTTTAAATTAAAAATTAATAATAAAAAATTTTACACTTTAAACAGCTATATTCTGGCATCTAAACTCATTATCCAAAATCTATTACAGAGTGTGATGTTCTTTAGTGTAATATCCTAATCAAATAATCCCAATATTAAAAATTTTTTTCAGTATAAAATTTGTTAAAACATTCAGAAGTTGTACTACTAAAAGTGAAGTTAAGAAAAGTGAATCTACTAAAAGTAGGGAGTGTTCCCATTACTAAACTCTATTTTCAATTGTTTTACTAGGATTCCTGTGTATGTTCCTCTGTGGTTATGCATTTTAATGATTTTCAGTATAAAACTGTATCATAATCTTACACATTCATTATGGTACTGTACATTCACTACCTTGTTTATTTTTACTGTTGTTTCATTTTCATACAGTAATATTTTAATATAATATGTACAGTATCATTACAACATTTTCATTGCTGTCTATTACATATTGGGGGGAAAAAACAGTTCCTATACAATTATTTATTTCATTACTGTTTACAAACCTTTCCATTAATAACTTTGTTAATCATTAATGGATATGTTTGTAATCAGTAATACAAACACCACAAACTAAAGTTACCTTACTAACAAACTTGTTGTTTGTTAGTAAGGTAACATGAGTTTGTAATGTTTAATATCATGGTAAAATCATAGATTGTAGATAAGTAGATTTTTGCAGTGTTAGCATATTACTTGAAGAAATTAAATGGGGATTATTCAGATGGAGTAGAAACAACTTAAAATTTTTCAAGAAAACCCCTCCCTCCTGATATCCAAATTCCTCATATTCAAATTATTTTTAGCAATGCAATAGATTCAAATATCAGAATATGGCTGTATATCATAATGAAATTATAAATATTTGAGATATTTTTAATAAAAAGTAATTTATTTCTTAATTAAAATACACTTCATTTTCTAAATAAGTGATATTATAATATTAAATTACATTTTCTACCTCAAATGTAAGTCTAACACTATATCCTGATTGTCGAATTCGAACAGTTTCAAGCATTCCTGTATATCTAAGCTGCCTCAGAATCATAGCATCATCAAAACAGTTTGGTATCTATTATAAAAATAGTAATAATTATATATATTATAAAAAATCTGAGTACTACCTTCAAAAAATGTGCAAAATAAAAATATAATCCAATCAAAAATTGTTTAATTTTAAAACATTTGCTAAATTGTTACATTTTTATTAATCTGTACCTAAAAATTTTAAAAACTTCAAAATAGCAGGTTTATTAAACAAAGTGTTGAAGTCTTCTATAACAAAACTGAAGTACACTTACTATGGATAATATGACTGCCTCAATTTTACTATAATAATCATTTAAATTAAATTTTAAAATTTTAAATTAAATGATTATTATTAAATAAGAATGTTATTATTATCATTTCCATAACAAAAACTAACAAATGCAAAATACCAAAATTATAAACAAATAACTAAGATAAAGATTTCTTGGAGCAACTGAATAACTAATTCCCACTTTCAAAAATAAATAAAAATCAAACATTTGATTATAATATAAATTAATTTAACTAAACAATTTTATCTATCACCATACAACATATGTAATATATAATCCAAATATCAATACCCTTCATTACCTTTTCTGCATTAGATTTGATGCAGCGAACAAAAAATGGATTAGCATGATTCAAAGTTTCCATTAACTGATTCAATGAAGTCTAAAATATAAGGTTTTAAAATTATATTTTAAAGTATAAAAATGAAAAGTTAAATAAAATAAAAATTTCCTATATTCATTTCACCTGAAACTGAGCACTGACAGTAGGAGATTGCTTTTTTGCTGTTCTATGTCCACAATAATGACTCTTTCCCATTAATGCTTTCATAGTTTTTAAATTGCTTAATGTCTTAAAAGAAAATCAAAATAATAAATTTGAATTAATATAATCTAATTTACTAATTCTTTTCTTTTTATATAAAAGGTAAAATAATTACTTTTTGATGTTTTGTTTTCTTTGAAGATTTACTTTTACTGTCAAAAATATAATAATATATAATAATAATAATTACTAAGATAATTTTAAAATATTTTTATGATAAAACCTACAGCATGATTTGATTTGCTCTTTCCAACACTTTTGCCTCACTAGCACACAATACAGCTTCAAGTGAATGCAATGAGCATATGCCATATTCCTTATTACAAGTCTTGTTCGGAGATTGAAGTGATAGTGTCTGAACTGTTGACAATGGATTTCTTGTTGATTTCTCATATTGATTTGAGCTGAAAATGAAAATATTTTTATAAGCAAATTCTTGCATTAACTTGATCTAAACATATTTCATAAAATATGGTTATTTATTATTTTAGCATATTAAATAACATAGTTAATTGTCAGCACAGGTTTTTTGCTAAAACAGTTTTAAATTGCAAAAAGTATTTATTGTTACAATTATTAGATTGGAGTGATTCTTTATTCTGGCAAAATTATTATTATTATTTTAGTAAGTAATTGCAAAGAAACATTTATTGAATAATTAATTTCATAAACAAAAAGCATTGTTTTTTAAATTGTAATAAGATTTCACATGTACTTTGTTCATATGCATTGATTCATTTACTATTTTAAAAACACGTCATTTTCCATCCTTCTAGAAATTGAACATTTTTGACCAAATAGAAATTTAAATTTTTAAACTAATTTATAAATGTGACCTTAAATAATTTATTTAGTCACAATATTTATAAATTCTATTTACTTTCTAAAAAAAATATTTGAGTAATATCCGAACACAAGTCTTAAATATCTTATAAAATACAGTAGAGCGTCGTTTATCCGAATCAATTGGGGACTGGGGTTGTTTGGATAACTTATTTTTCAGATAACCAATTATGTATGAAAAAATATATTAACCCATCCCATGTTGAAATTTTTCTCCGTTGCATGTCACTTCGTGTTGAATTTTTGTCAATGTTAAACCTAACATGAACTTTTTAAAATAATAATCATGGCTATTGTATCGTTAAAAATTATTTCTTTATTTTTTACAAACAAAATAAATATATTGAAAAATATAAAAACAAAAAAATTATACTTTAGAAATTAATCTAGTATCAAAAACGTTCGATTCAGCGCAACACACAGTCCTCAGAAAAACACCACACAAAAGTGCCAGTGCTGCCAGCTAAAACACACATCAACAACAAAAAATATTGGAGTAACCCAAGATATAGCCAAAGATTGCAGCGCCACAGCACTAGCGAAAATTTAAATTTGCCAACTGGAATTCTTTCGGATAACCGACGTTTCGGATAACCGGCTTTCGGATAAACGACGCTCTACTGTATATCATTTAGAACTTTCACTTTAATCATGTTAAAATTCAGTTTTAGGCAAAAGCAAAATGATAATGCTAGTAAAATGAATATAAAAGAAATTATTCTTTCTTTCGTGCCGATATACAAACTGCTAAACACATTTCGATTAGAATATAAAGAAACTCAACTTTACGGAACAGAAAACATTCAAAATATAAATCGCATTGTGAGATTATTTCTGTGTCTTTTACGTATTGCAATTTATGTTTTGATTAATTCTCTGGTAGATATATTTGTTTAGATTAAAGCCTATTTCACAGGAAAANCAAAACAAGAATAATAATTAAGTCAATCATCATATGATTTATGGTGATTGACTTAATTATTATTCTAGTTTAATGTACTTAGTGTTTTGTAACATATTTATTAAAGAAAACACAATGTCAGAAGATTAGATTATGTAATCTAATCTATAATGCAGAAGACATACACTAAGATAATGTTTCTCACAAATGTGAAATCCGGAATTTCTACTGATTTTTTTCTGGTCAATATCCCATTATTACCTAAAAACCAATTAAATTCCCCTATAAAAAATAGAGTGGAAACCAACTTGAAAGAGGGAGAAATTTTAACCTCCTCTTTTTTCAAGGTAAATATTCACCCATCTTGACAACTATTCCCACACTATAAACTTAAAAGTTGATAGTTAACATACAATTGCGTCATTTTATTTGGGTTCCGGGGACAACTCTTACCTCCCTGCACACCTTTTACCTCTCAATTAGCTAATCATATGATAGTTTTCCCATCACGAAATGATAAAAGCCACTTCTCTCCCCCCTTGGGGAGAGTTGTTTCGAGGATTTAACTTTAACTTGTGCCCTATGTTTGTGCTCTAGGATATCCACATCTAGAAAGAGATATGGAACCCACTTCTGTGAACTCTCTCTCGGTCCCTTCATGCTTTAGGAACTAAGAATTTCCACTCTGAATTCCGCGATGATAGATTATTGTATAGTCTATGTAATTAACCAGTAAATCATTGTTTCATTGTTAAATTGGTGTCCTCTTTAACTCGTATATCGTCTGTTGCCTTTCTGACGGCACTCCTCCCTCCTCTTCTCAACCCGAAAAATTTTGGTCCCGTTCCATTGGGATAAACGAAAGAAAAAAATTAAGCCATCTCTGACTGGTGGGCAAGTCCCTCTGACTTGAAAGCCGATCCAAGGAGGTATGACATGGTCATACCCCCCAGTTCTCACACAAATTTACAGTATATTGAAGCAATAATATAACTAATAGCAAAAACATTTAATCTGCATTTGCTTTTTGAATATAACTGATTAGTAAATAGATTTTTTAAATACATTTGCACACTGTCTATCTGGATTGTAATTTAATTTAATCATCAAAGAAATGTTAAATTTTTAAATTTGACGTTTCTTGTGCAGTTTATAAAACAGGTCATAAACTGATTTTTATAAAATATAAACTGATTGCAAACTTACTTAGTAGAACTATTTTTTCGATTTTGACGAAGGCAATTTTCTTTCATTTTATTCAGTTTTGAATCTAAAAAAATAAATTTAGATAAGTAAAATAATTCCAAAGAAATAAATTCTGTTTATGTTCAAATAAACTTTAAATAAGCTATAAAATAAAAATGAATTCAAATAATTTTTTAAAGATAATTAAATTTAAAACTTCACTTTTAGGATCTGTAGCTGATTGATGTAATTTTAAAAATGCAAAATGAGCTCTAAAGAAAGCTCGTAATATTGCCCAACGAAAAACAGCCACTGGATCAGTTCCAACCAATTCTCGTACAAGAGTAAAGCTGCTACTTTTCAGTAATAAAACAAAATATGGCCTCATAAGTTCCAGATTCTTCTCTCTAAAATCCTGTTAATTTCATAAAGTTTAATGTTAACTAATTTGATTATAACATTACATTAAAATTATTATTAATTTCAAAATTTTATTAAAATATAGTTTAGAATTAATTTATTAATAAAAAAAGTTAAGTTTTATAATAATTATGGCAAATTTTATTATAATATAATAATTTATTACATATATCATGAAAATCACTTATGTAACATGACATAACATAATAGCATTTTACTATTACTTTAGCATACAAAACCTTTCCAGTTCTGAATGATACTCAGAATTGATACATACTGAAACTAGTGACTGTAAAAAGTAAGTACTTATAAAATAACTGTGCTAAATTTATTATAATGGGAAATACAGAGCAACTGACTATAAATTAAATTTAATAAAAAAATTTTAAATTCAAATAATGTATTAAAGATCACAACCTTCAAATTATTTTTCATACTGAAAAGTAATTAAACAAAAATTTTTAACATTTTTGGTAAAAACGTTATATGATACTTTTATCAATTACTTTAACATAATGTTATAAATGACACTTTTTTTCACAGTTCTTTTCATGGATGTTTACAGCTTATCATTAATTTGTAATGTCAGATCAAGTATTCAAGACCAGTCTGGCAGTTTTGTAATAATTTCAGGAAACCAAATGAATTGGTTTTCCTGAAATTATCATCACAACAAAGTTTATTTCAATGGAATTATTCACTAGAAGGAACGACTGATGAATAAATTCAATTTGAATGTTAAGAAAAAAATATCACAGTATTATTAAATTTGCTTTTATTTGTTATAACAAATATTATATTTTAAAATGAAATGTATTGTATAATTTCAATATCTTTTTTAATCTGTAGANATTATTATTATTGTGTTTCTACTGCCAACATCTAGAAATTAGAAACACCAATCCAAAATGTGCCTTGTTTTATGAAAATGAAAAATTGTATACTTATTGCAACACACAATAACCAAAAAACCTCTAGGAGTTTTGCTACCTAATGACAGCAAGAACATGTATTAATACTGCCATGCAATATTTCCAGAAGTGTTTTACAAAATTCTTATTAAAGCTATTCTATTTAAATTTAAGATGGCCAAGTGATGTAACGAATAGTATATTCGGCCTCAGGCCGAATACCGAATATTCTGCCAGGAGTGTGGCCGAATAGCCGAATATTAGGCAAAACTATTTGGCTTGATTAATGCACGTACGAAAATTGGCACGCAAATCGCATTATATGGCAAGGATCACGCACCCTGCTCTCTATTGGCCCACTGTCACTACACTTCTTCAATCGCGTTAATTCTTGACAGTTGTAGCAGACAGACATGAGCGTCATGGCAGTATGTTATAAGTGATGATATCAAATGTGGATAACAATGAAATGACCTACACCTGTAAATAGAGAGGTTGCGGCCAAAGTTTTCAACACGAAAACGTATACGTTGGATGTTCAGCGTCGCCTTCCTGTAAGCCTAGAAGTTTGACAATGGCATTTCGAATGTCAAGCATGATTCCACTGACGTTCCAAACGCCATTGTCAAATGTCTAGGCTTACAGGAAGGTGGCGCTGAACATCTGATGTACACATTTTCGCGTTGAAAATGTTGGCTGCAACCTCTCTAATAATGGAAAAAGAAGAGAGAAGGACCGCAAAGTGAAAATGTGAAAATATAATAAATATGAAATTTAGTTGATAACAATCAAACAAGTCGAGGCAGCTTATTGGCGAGAAATTCGCAGTCATCAATGCCAAATAATTGTTTTTGTAGACTTCGGAAAGCTAAATGCTGTAATTAATTTAATTAATTAATTTAAATAATTTAGACCTACTGGAAATGCATCTGCACGGTAAGCAGGAGTTGCGGGTTCGTGTCCCGCTCAAGGCCGATTTTTTCTTCCAGTAGGTCTAAATTAATTAATTAAATTATAATTATAATTATTAAAGTTAATATGAGATGGCACCTAACGTCTATCTCTAGTGCCAAATTGGTTTATAATTTATGTAATAGCCATAAATAGCCCAATATCATTCAGCAGTTGTTGATATTTTGATGCAAGTTAAGTTATTTTATTTGCAATCGATCTTTTTAAGAGGTTTGTGACTTTGGAACAGTACGATGAGTAAAAAAACGTCTTCAGTTTGGATTTACTTTGAAGAAAATGACAAAGATTTGCGTAATGTGCAGTGCAAAGTATGTGATACAAAAATTTCTCGTGGAGGTAAGGGAAAAAAAGCTTTGACGGCAGGTTTGATAAATCATTTAAAGAACAAATACAAGGAGGAGTATCAGAAAATACATAAATCTATCTCAACGAAAGAAAACATAGCGGATTATGTCATTCCCTGTTCAAGTAAGTCCATGAATCAATTAACCCTTTACGACTGCCAAGAAAAAACAAAAAGTTGGATATAAATGACCCTCGGGCTGTGAAATACCATTATCTAATTGCTGAAATGATAGCGATTGATAATGAACCACTGAACATAGTTGAGAGATCTGGTTTGAAAAGATTGTTAAATGAGATCCTGCCGAGATATGCCATACCGAGTAGACCGTACTTTTCAGAGAAAATAATTCCTGAACTTTATGGAAAAGTAGAAACAAAGATTAAAAAAAGCTCGAAGACACAGATTATATATCAATCACTACCGACTTGTGGACGTGCTTGCAAAACTCTGTCAGTTTCCTCAGTTACACTGCACACTGGCTTGACAGCAATTTTAACTTGACACATGCTGCACTTAATGTAAAACTTTGAAGGGCAACATACTGCGCAAAATATAGCAAATGCTCTGCAAGAAATACTGAGCCGATGGAAATGCCCTTTATCAAAAATTCACATCATTGTTCACAACAATGGGCACAATATTGTTAAGGCTGTCAGTGAGGCTAAAATGAATTCTGCATGTTGCTTCATACATACACTACAGTTAGTAATCAAAGACTCTCTCAAAATTCAACCTGAGATCAGAGAAACTATTGCTGTGGAATGAAAAATAGTAACCCACTTTAATCATTTGCGTACTGCACAAGAAAAACTGAAAAAAAAATTCAGGAAGAGCTGGGAATAGCCAAGCATAATTTAGTGCAAGATATAACAACACGGTGGAATTCTACCTTTTATATGTTAGAAAGGCTTCTTGAACAAAAACGAGCTATTTCCCTCTATCTAACTGATACAGTAAACATATCTAATCTGACTGCAGAGCAGTGGGAGATTGTAAACCAATTACTGAAATTATTAAAGCCATTTGAAGAGATAACAAAAATTACTAGCTCAAACTACTCATGCTTATCTGAAATTATTCCCCATGTTGTTACTCTTAACCTCTACTGCAACAAGGCCGTGTCTTCTGACCTAGCACCTAAATTAAAGTTTATGGCGATCGCCATGCAACAAGGGATAAAACAATGTTTTTCACAGATTGACGATAATAAAAACTACCTGATATCAACTTTGTTAGATCCAAGGTTTAAGACGAATTTCTTCATGAACCAACTGCAAAAAGAAAAGAGCCCGGCAGTACATTCTGGTTGAAGATTTAGTTTCAGACTATGATACCAGCAGCAATGAAAGCGTGCGTTCTTCTCCCGTGCAGTCTAAACGTAAAAGAACCGATGAGCCTGGACAAAGCATTTGCACGTCTTTCTGGGATTGCTATGATGAAGTAGTTGCTGAGAACTTCACCGATGATGACAACAGAGTCGAAATAGCTTCTACTTCAAAGAACATCCTAACAGGTGACCTTGATAAGTACTTGAGCATGAAAACTTTAAAGAGAAACGACGATCCATTTGCCTGGTGAGCTACACATAAATCTAAATTTTCCCAATGTTTAGTCAAACTGGCTACTAAGTACTTATCAGCTCCTGCAAGCAGCGTGTATTCAGAGAGGCTTTTTAGTGAAGCAGGAAACATATACGAAGAAAAGAGGAACAGACTTCTTCCCAAAAATGCGGAAAAGTTGATTTTTCTGCACCATAACCTACCACTTATTGACTTCAGTTATAATAAATAATTTTGTACAATGAAACAAAAAAGTTAATTTAATTTTCAAGTTTATAATAAAGGATGATTTCATAAAATTACAGATCATTAATTATTTTTTCACATTTTATGACCTAAGTTTCGATCTAATGTGCCCACGCAGTAAAAATTTTCATACAAATATTTTACCCTTTTTCACTCCTTTAGGGTTTAATTTCGTAAAATCTTTTCTTAGTACGTCTAAATTTTACAAAAGGAACACACCCTCAAATTTTTAAGATTCTAGCACCAGTAGTTTTGGCTCTGCATTAATTATCCTATCAGGACTTGTTCTTTTATATACGGGTATATAGATGACTAAACTACATAATAAATAGGTAGTTTTCATTTGATTTGTTACCCTTTTTTGATCTCTTAAAAAATAACTTAGTTATGTTACTTTTCCTTTGATCTTTTACATAAATAAGCAAAAAATTGCACTTTTTTGATCTTGAAATGTATGTTCAGCATTGATAAAAGTTACCAAAATGATTAATTTACTGTGTTTTGTTATTTCTTACTCCTGTTTTTAGGTATTCAGTATTCGGCCAAAAAGCGAAAAATAGGCCGAATACTGAATAGTGGCCGAATATTTGTTACATCACTACCAATAACCATACCATTTACCTTAAATGAGATATAAACTTAATATCTTTATAATATTTATGTTTACAATGATTTGTCTAATTCATAAACTTTAATAATTTAGATGATAAAATTATTTTCTTGATTGTGATATTATTTAGTTTATAAATTAAATTTCCATACATAAAGTAGAATTATTTGTTTTGTTCATTATATCAATTTTTATTTTGCATTTCATAACGCAAATATAATACTTAGACAAAATATAACACTAACTATTACATGATTTGCATGCAAAGGTGGTGATTTTCTGCTCTGATGTCATTTTTTGTGATCTGACATCATTAAAACTAATATCATGGAGTCTTATGCAATTTCCACAAGAGATAGTCATAAGGTCATGGATATTTGTTAGCTATTTAATGCATAACAATGCATTCCAGTCTACAAGTACAAGTAAAACATCTTCATATATTCAATATAGTCTTCACAAGATAGCTTAGGTGCCTTGACCAACAATTTTTGTTTTTGCACTTTTACTTCATGCCCAAAAAGAGCAGAAAAATTTTCTGGTCTTTCTGAGAAACACCTTAGCTCTCAGTTATTTATTTCCAGCTAAACTCATTTCACATTAGTCCATGCTATCACAAAGTTTGAAGAGTTCCCTATGGGACAAGGTTCACAGTGTTCTATAAAAAAAAAGCAACATCTCAAACTAAATAACATAATGTTGAAATTTGGCATGTAGAGAGATGACACACAGAATTTTTCAGAATACTCAAATTTGAGGAGCAGCAATTACATGAGCATAATTATGCATGAAAAATCAGTGGAAAATCACCAGCTTATGTTTGGCAAAACCATAGTCATTATGAGTTAAACACACCGTCTTGTTAGCTATTGTTGGGAATTGCAATAACTTTTGAAAAACTGTACCCCATCATCACTATTATTCTTTACATTCAGTTTATGATAAGCCCAAGAATGAAATTCTGTTGAAAGCTGAGGACCACCAATTATTATTATTATAATAATTGAATTTCAATGTTTGTTTTATAAACGCAATGTAGCGTAATAACAATCACTTGGCACTATTCATTCTTTTATTTCAATATTCATCGACAAATATTGAAATAAAAGAACGAATAGTGCCAAGTGATCGTTATTACACTACATTGCATTTATAAAACAAACAAAGATACGACACGATTTCAAAACATGGAAGAATTGAATTTCAAATTTTAAAAGAAAATAAAAGATTACATCATAAAGAAATTATCAAGAAAAATATATTAATATTTTTTAAATTTATGTATATTTGTTACAATTGACAATATAATCAAAAATTTTTCAATTCTTAATGTTTCTTCATACATTTGATATAAATAATAAAATATATTTTGTTACTCACTTTTATTTGATATTTTACTTTGCCAGCATAATGTTTAACAAAAAATGAATTCTCTTTACATTGAGGTAGCTCATAAAATTCATTATTTCGATAATGATTTTCAAATTTTTGTTGTAATGTAGCATCAGTTGCTCCAGGAAAACTAAAATATAGGATAAACAGTAAAAACTATGCATGTAAATAATTTTATACACAAAGAAAACTGACAGTTTAAAATCAATGTAAATCAAAATTCTTTAAACAATAGTGACTCTTTAATCCAAATTAATTAGTGCACTAGGTTGTGCAGATTAGTGGAGTTTTACGTAAAGAAAAAGGAAGGAAAATAATTGCAAACAAATATCTAAAAATACTTTTTTAAATAAATATATTTGGTGCATACATTTGTGTTAAAATACATAAAAAGTTTATATTAAATTTTACAAATTTAGCATGTTTTTAGAAAATATTTAGTAATATCTTTATTTCTGGCTGGAACATTTAGTGACCAACAGAATTCAGATTGGTAAAAGCCCATATACATTATGTTGCTAAAAAATAATTTTTTTTGGTTTAAAAAAATTTTTTATATGACCTAAAAAATATGTATAACAATATAATTATAATAAAAAATTTTGAAAAAACACAAACTTCTAATTAGAAAATTCTTGAGAATTCCATAATCCTGCATCTGCAAGTGTATAGGAACACTACTGGTAATTCAATGATCCAAAACTTATGGTTTAATTATGTTTATTTTGGTTAATTACATATATAAATAGATGCATTTCAGGTCAACATTTTACAGCCCCTCATCACTAACTAAAATTATTAAGAACTAAGTATAAGACAAAATTATTTAAATTTAAAAAATAAAATAAAACTGAACATAACATTAATATCTTACTTTGTATTGAATGAACTATCTCTTTAAATATGAAAGTAAGTGAACTTGATACGAAACATATTACACACTGTGTGTAGTATGTTCGATATGTTTGCAAGATTACAGAATTCTCAAGAATTTTCTAATTAGAATATATCAGTGATCCCAACAGAAAAAAAAAACTATTTTATAAACACTTGTTTAACAAATTTTTAAATTCATGTATTTCAAAGCTAAAAACCTAACAATATTTAAGTTCTTTTATAACCTAATTTATTGTGTTACATAAAATTATGATAGAAATAAATACAATAGTACCCACATATTGTAATCAGATATCATCTGTCATCTAAGGTTATAAGAATTAGCAAGTCCTGAATCATATATACACTTAAAAGTTTGTTATGATTATCACTATCTTCAGATAAATATAAATTTCTTTAAACTCCTTTTACATGCCATAACATATCATCAATAATTTTAACTATGTGACTAATAATATGCAGAGTTATCATCATCAGTCTTAGCCAATGCTTTAAATATTAAGTGTTAACTGATTTTATTATTTGCTTGCATTAAATTGCTAAAATTTCTTATTTCAGTTATATGCTTGATGAATGATTAATTAATAACAATTAAAATCTTTAAATGCATTGAAAAAATTTTTTCATATGTCCTTTTAAATGTCAGCTAATTATATGAATTTTCACTAACTGTAGTTCACTAGGTGATGAAGTAAATGATAACAGGATGACAGCATTAAACAAGTGAATTGTGAAAGTGATTACAATAAACAGATTCTACTGTATCATATTATTAAACTTCATTAAAGCATTACACTCAGTCCTCAATATACAGCCAGGATATACTCTGGAGAAGTTGTCCATGAAGTGAAATACCATATAATGAATCATTTATTTAATACAAACCCATACAAATTCTACAGGATCCATTCCATTTTAGCATAAAAATATGGAAAACCAGAAATTTTTACTTGAAAATGATTTTTTTGTTATTTTATTTAAAATAGAGTAATTAATAGACAGAGCCAAATAACTAAAAATACATTAAAAACTTTAATACACACCAATGATGTTTTCTAAACTTTTTAAGGCAAAATATATAAGCAGAAATAAACTCTTCTTACTTGATTTGTGGTCCAAGAGTTATACTGTTGCTAAATGCTTTTTATACTATATTGCAAAATCACGTGCAACAACACACACAAAAAGAAATGCACAAGTCAAATGAATGTTTAAGTAAGTAAATCACTTACTTAAAGTCATGTCTGAAAGTGAAAATTTCAATTTTATGCAGTTAAAACCAAAACCAATTTTATTAACATCTTACAGCAATGTTGCCAGTTGATTTCACCATTAATAAATAAAAACATTCCTTTGCATTTTTGTTTTATAATAAAATAAATAATGAAATAAAAATAGAGTATAAACAATTATTTTATGTTACATTTAATGCATTAGTAAATGGAACCTTATTTAGTGCACTTTGATAGTTGCAGGTGTGGTAGATGCATGTTGTGCCAGCATCAGTAAGTGCCTATTATTTTTTGTGTGATATAATGAAAAACTTTTTGGGTCATAAAATTAAACTGAGCTATAAAACCAGAAAATCATTATAGCAAAAAGCCATTTAAAGAGAACCAATTGTACTAAGTTTTCTTGTTAATTTATTTTTAATATTTACACAAACTCGTTTATTCTTCATCATTATTGTAATATAACAATAAATTTATTAAAAGTAAAACTATTTATATATAAAAATTAAAAAGTTTTTGTAAAGTTAACATTGTTATATTTGGAAATATATATTTATAAGTATAAAGGTGCAGCAAGCATATAATTAAAATATAGGAGATAAAACTATTCCCTAAAAATTTAAAGAATTATTGGTTATAGTTAATTACAGATCATTTTCAATTGCAATTATTCAAACAGTAAGTCGTAAAGTATTGAAAATGTAAAAAAATTACTTATAAAAAATATATATATTTTTTAAATCTTCAATTATCTACCTGCACTGATCATCTAACAAACACAGTAATCCATGAGGACGTCCTTCAATTAACTCTAAGCAACCTGTGTTATCTTTAAATTCAATGTTTTTCCATTGAATTCCTTCACGTTCATATTCTTCCTGTTAAAAAGTTATTTATATAATTAGAAAAATTGATGTTTTGAATTTACAAGAATATCATTAAGTTATTAAGTTAACTATTAAATTCTATTAAATACAACTTTTAACTATTTTTCTCCGATATGTTTCAATATAAAATATTTTTTTAATGAAGATATAATTCTAATATTTTGTTTAAATGTTATTATATTATATTATATATATTATATATTATATTTTGTTTCTAATTATGTTATGCATCAAATGGTGGACCATATGTGTGACAAATTAATTTCACATAAAATGATATGTACCTAAAAATTTAAAAATATACAAAGGTAATATTGATAATTATCAAGTTTATTTTGTTTTTTATGTTAATATATATATATATATATATATATAAATTNGCAAATTATATATATATATATATGTTAGGCTCAAAGACCGAAATCACTCACTGAGCAAAAAAACGACCACAACACATGGTTGTTTCAAAATGGCCACGACGCAAATTTTGCTTCATGGCATTTGTAAAAACGGCCACAACGTGTTGTGGCTAACTCAAAACGACCACAAAGTGAAATTCGAGTTGTAGCTTTCGTGATATTTGATCACTACACATTGTGGTGATTAAGAAAAGCCATAATGCGTTCGAACATTAATTAATTAACTGATGCAACCACAATACAGGATCATACGACTCACAGTGGTTTGTAACTTTAAAATATGGATTATAGGCTCAAAACATTTTTATTTATAATTTTTAAAGCCAAACAACATTAGTTCTACAAGTTTTTCTAGAAATTTAATTTTCATACTTATATTTTATTTCTTTGATACGAATACTGTCGCAATTTTTTCGCTACGTTATAGGAATCTCCGTTATAGGAACCCACGTTATAGGGGGGGGGTCGACTGTACGTACCATTTGTATGCATTAAGTAATTTTAACATTTCTGTTTATGTAATTTTAATATTCCTATTGTTTTCAAGTCAGTAAAGCATGTAAGTTTATTTCAATCAATAAAAAGTATTTTCAATATGTGATTTTAGACTAAATTCAAAACCCCCCCTAATTTTGGTTTATCCAGATATCATTAATCAAGATCAAGTCTTTCATTTGATCTAGATAAATAAGGTTTTATTATATTTGGCAATAAATATGTTGAAAATGTTATTTTGTAAAAAAAATTTCAACTATATCATCAACATTTTAATTAAAAATATATTATTTAAAATATTTATATTTTATATTCTATTTAAAAAGTTACTACTCAGTAAGTGCATTATACATTTAAAAGTAATTCTACATCTAAAATGATTAATGATTAATCTTTTGTTAATCAGATTTTAATTTTCTATAAGAAATAAAATATTTAGAAAACATTCAAACCTGTTCATATTTGAAGACATGCTGATTAAAATAATATTGTAAATGCTCATTTGCGAAATTTATGCAAAACTGTTCAAAGCTATTATGAGATCCAAAATCTTCAAATCCAAAAATATCAAGTACACCAATACTGTTTCCCTGTCACATAAAAATTCTCGTTTTTAATAAGTTTCACATCAATCTAAGAAAGTATTAATTATTATTAATAAGGTTAAAACATAATTATTAATATTAATAATAATCTATCTGTTTTAACTTTAAACAGGCCAACTTCTAATAAAATAATTTAATATATTGGAGTGTGAAAAAAAACTAAAAGGAGAATAATTTCAATGTTAATATCATTATTGTAAAACTTTACATTTCACTTATTTTTATTTATTCTAATACTGTAAGGTCTCATTTTATGCAGTGGATACGTTCTACAGAAAAGCGCATAAAAAAAAATTTGCATAAAAAAAGACTTTACTTGCCTTGAAAAAGTAGGGATACGTTCTGTAATTTTCTAAAATTGCATAAAATCAAAACAACGAGTTAAAATTAACTTAAAACCGCATAAAAAAGTTTGCAGAAATGAAAAGAAATAGGCTGCTTAATAAATTACTTCAAATGTCTGAAAGAAATTCATATAAAAGCTTAAAATAAACTTGTATTCAAACTTAATTCAGTTTATTTTATTGAAAAGTAATACAAGGGGAATCCCCGAATTGCAAAAGCTCACTCTAAAAACAAATCACTGACATCTGGATGTGAAGAGTTAATTAAAACCCCTTTAGTTCCTCGCCCGAGTTAACTCGGGCAGGTTACATAGCATTACATAAAACACGATCCTTAAGGCCTGAAATTTGTTTTTTTGAATTTTTGGAATGTTTTTTAAGTCTCCAAACTTTTAAAAAATATTTAAAAATATACGGCCAGCTAGTGTTCACCCTACTTTAAACCCTTGTCCTCCCGCGACGTCTATGAGAATGCCCCGGGAAATCCAACTCCAGCTGTGTTCAAGGTCATCCAGATGTGTAAACAATGACTCATCGGTGTTAAATTTCACAGAAGGGCGAGACAAAGGAAGTTAAACTTTGAAGCTTTTTCTTCAAAATTAACGCATTTCTTTCGTTTTTTTTAGTTTTAAGTATTTTTTATGTTTAATTACATTTATATCAAAAATTGCTAGGAACTAAAGCGATTAAGGTAGATCTAGCTGTCCTTTACATCCATAAACGTTATATGTCAGTGGAACAAATGGAGTGAGCTTTGAGCGTTCCACGATTTTTGGAGACTGTCTATACGCGGGCTTCCTAAACAAGCCTATATGTATGTTTGTCCAAGAAATTTTTGGATGAAATACAAACCGCACAACTTCAAAATCGCATAAAAATAATCCGCATAAAAAGAGACCTTACAGTATATACAAAAAATCAATATCAATAACATATTTTAAAAATTAAGCGTATAAAAGGTAAATTATGCAATATTCAACTGAAAGATTATATTTCCTCTCCAGCCAAATCAGAGAAGATAGAGTTATAAATTATATAAGAAAAAAAATGAATATAACTACAAAAAAAAAATTACAATAAACTGAAACTAAAATGTGCTAATTTTACTTTTATAACATGTATGTTACTTTATAAAAATTTATAATTCTAAATAATTACAAATAAAATAATTTATAAAAAAATTATTAACTAAAAAACTGAGTAAATATTTATTGTCCAATGTAAAAGTTCAATGATACATTTAAGATTTTGAATTATTCTTATTATAGATTTTTTTATTATTATAAATAATAATAAAAAATCTAAATTAATATTATTTGTCATGTTTCTTTCAACTGACAAAAGTTCATTTTAGCCAACTGTAGGCAGTGATATCACAGATTTTGTGATGTCACTGCCTACCACCAAAAATACTAAAACACATTTAACTACATGTTTAGTACTTTCATTTTAGAAATAGTAAGTTAATAAAACAATTTAATTATTAAGAACAAATGATTTACATAAAATTGGCTATGATGATGTTACCATTTAATCAGTATCTTTTCACCAAACACCAATAATTTATTTTATTGTTTCACATAAAATCTGTTATTATGTGAATATTTTGAAAGTATTTTAAAAATTTATTATTATTATTTTCCAACTACTTTTGATGTTTCTTTAAAATATAATTATTGCCTATTAAACTATATCACCTTAGAAAATAAGACAAATGTTTAGGGCCTGTAATTTAGAGGCCCAGCCACAGTAACTCATTTTTTAAACAGAAAAATTCTGTAAACATTATTTAAGAAATTCAATAAGACAGAAAAGGCTAAGGTCTTAGCAATCCTTGCTATAAATAAAGATACAGTAATACCCCAAACTTATGCGATAGGTGAGACAGAGCGATAACCGCGTAAGTTGAATTCGCGTAAGTAGGGGTATAATTTCGCAATTTGTGTAAAATCCAAATTAAATGTATGTAAGCTAATAAATGTTCTCATTAACTTTATCTCAGCTTTTGATTCGTTCACAGTTACAAGAAATCACCACAGAGTCTCTCGAGTCTCCATAGATATAAACACAGAAATAAATAACACAAAATAAATTGTAGCTATGTGTCAATTCCGCGCAGCATGTCCGAACATATAAGATAAACAATAGTGTGAGGGGGGAGTGAGTAATCAAGAGTTGCGTGACATTCAAACAAAAGACGAATCGACGAGATTTGAAAATCGTGTAACTCCGGGTTCGCGTAAGTCAAGGTATTACTGTACTCTCAAATGGCTAGATTGTAAAGATATTGATCAATTTTCTGAAATGAAAATCTGAAAATGAAAAATTTTAATTTTTTAAAAGCTGATTAATGACTATAATTATATACAGTGGATGATCGGTTAAAGAACAAATCGGATAACGAACACTTTCGCGAAAGATTTTTATGATCGGACAACGAACACATGATCGGATAACGAACACTTCACTGAACAGACATAAAAAGAAGCGACAAAAATAGCAAATACCAACTGATTTTCCTTTGTTTTCAGGTAATTTTTTGGAGCGCGGGAGACCTCAACGTTGACGCTCAACTGATTAGATAGTATCTCGCGAACTTTGAAATACTCCCTTGTAATTCCAACCTTTTTATTTTTCTGACAAACAATTCTTTTATAGTATTCGTGAGACTGTCGGGCGGGCACTCATTAAGTTTTGTGTCGGTTTTTATTTTCGAAAGGTGAGAGTATAATAGCAAAGGTAGAGAGTGAGCAGATGTCTGATGTTGCTGAACAGATGGCTTAAACAGGTCTACAGTAGGCCACAGTTCAATCTTATCTAAGAAAGATACTGTATTATCGAGAAGACTCAAGCAGCTAAAGGAGTAACAAAAATCACATCTGAGAAATAAAGAACAATGAAGAGCTCATAATGGAATCTGAAACAGATCTGATGACAGAAGAACGCCAATAACTCTTGAATGGAGAACACCAAGAAACTCAGCAAGATACGTTTTATTCTGAAAAAGAGGATTAATGCCGATATCTGCTATTAATTAAAGATCTTTTGAAGAAATGGGGGATGTCAGATCAACGGTCTTAGAATGGCATACAAACCAGGTTGAGGTTAATAGGCTTGGGGATCTCTACAATTACAATGCTATTAATTACTTCTGAAAAATCCTGAAGAAGAGAGAAAAGCAATCGACATTAGACAGATTATTTAACTCCTACAAACAAAAAACCATAACTAATAAAAATGCACGTCTGTGTGTATATGTATTTTTATTACTACATATAAATAAATGTAGTAAGAAAGTATATATTTTTTATTTTGGGGTGTCTCCAGAATGAATTAATCAAATTCCCATACAAACCTATGGTAAATTGATAATCAGTTAATGAACAATTCAGATAGCAAACAAAGTCTTGGAACGGATTATGTTCGTTAACCAATCACCCACTGTACTCATAAAATGATAATCATCTTTCTGTTAACACAGAGTTTTATCATTTTATGAGCATAGGAGCCTAGAGACAAACTTTTGGCATGAAAATTTGGTTCTATTTGCAAAAGATGACAAATCATCAAACTTCAAATTTTTCTGCTTTAAAATTGTCTCTAAGTCATAAAACTCTGATTCTCACCTCATGATATAAGAGGCTTGTGAAACAGTGGTACTAGGAATGCCACATACATCCATAATGCTATGCTCAACCATCTGTATCTTTGTATTATTGTTGAAAGTAATCATTTTGAACACATTCTGTAACAAAATAAAGCTCACTTTTTTGTATCAATTTTTGCAACGTTGTCTTTATCCATAAGACCGACCATCAGAGATTATTTGTATGTTACACTAAATTTTTTAAATTGATTCCCTTCAGTTATTTCAGCAATGAAACAAGCATGCATCACATGCATGCTTGTTCCAATGCTGGAAAGATTCTTTTGCCCCTGGATAGTTGTTTAAGTGGGCATCCTTTATATCTGGATACCATATTTTAAATAATTATATATTATTTAATATTTTTATATGATGAATTGATTTTACTATCAAAATGTGTGCACCAATGANTTACATTATTTAAAATTTCTTTAGAAGCAACTTATTTAAATGGGACCCCAATTTAAATTCTGTCTAAGGCTTGCTAGAGGTTTAATCTGGCACTGTGTTTATACAAGATAACCTGAGCATGGCCAGGTACATCAGCTAGTATATAATATTTGTGGGTAGTAGTATGGCTTGAATTCTGTGCTATTATGTATTCTGAAGAAAGTTCATTCACAACTGAAGACCTGATATGAAAATTATCATAATCTACAGGTTTAGGAAATGAATAGGTCCAGAAAAAGTACTATCAATATCATCCATAATCACAAATAGCAGAATAGGAAAGAAACTCTAATAAACACCTACCCTAAAAAAATCAGGACAGTAGGCATTTGTTGTGAAAGCAAAGGCATAAATCAGATACAATAAGCTCATCATGAGTCATTGCCTCTAGGAATCCTTACACCTAAACATATCCTGCCATATTAGTTGTTGGATTCTGCAATGGAAAGGTTTTGGCTACTGTAAAATATTGAGAAAACTGCCTTTGAGTCTAAGGCAGAAGCAGAAACATATGTGGAGTTCACTCAGCACCATCTCTGCAAGAGTATCGATTTTAAATGGATTTTTAGGTAAAAGGTTATTTTCTCCAGATGATTCAGACAACTTATACTCCATGTGCTCAGATATAATCACATTGCACCCATCCATCAATGTGTTAAGCTTCAGCAGTGTGAAAGAAAGTATTATGATTTTAGGGGATGTCTTAAAGTTAAGGTTGACTTTGACAACCTTAACTTTAAGACTTTCTGTCAATTAGAAGTATAATATCAGTGCTTACATGAATGACTTCATCATGGGCCATGCACCAGTTTAGCTGCAAAAAAATGTGACAGCAGAATGTGTCAATACATAAGCCAAACAGAATCCAGTACTTCCAGGTCAACAATGTGAATGTTCTGCACTGATCTATAAAGAAGTCCAAAACTAAATGTCATAGAAAATATCAGGAATCTTTTAGAAGCGTAGATATACTAAGATCAACAGTACAGTTACAGTATAACCACTATAAAGAAATAATTGATAATATTAATGTAAGTGCTACAAATTTCAACAAAGCTTTGATCAAAGACCCATGTAAATCTGTATAAAATGACTTCTTGAAGTAGCAGAGAAGCAAGAAGATCAGACAGTGAAAAAACCAGACCTTCATTCTTGTTTTTAACATGACATGCATTTGATTCTTTGGTGGTAAACTTTAAGTCCATATTAAAATCTTACATTTGATAAAAACTGTATAACAAAATTTCACACAAACTGTTTCTGTCTTTTCATACTATTACATCCCCAAACCTCAATACTCATGAATGTGCCACATTATATGCCAGATTGAAGTGCATTATGATAGAAAACATTTTGGCCAGAAGTGTAATGTTTTTAATCTAATTATATTGCAAATGAGTAATTTTAACAAATTATTTGATATATCAATTTTCTTCATAATTATGTGCCATACATTCCTCTCTCTTGAAATTCTTTAGTTTGTTCTCTTTCATTTGGACATATTTAAATGAAAATTATACAAATGTAATAGTAAAAGTAAATATAATAGCAAAAATAATAATACTTTGTGTTCACGAGCATCCTGCTTTGCTAACAAAGCATGATTAACTTGCATGACAATCCAATCAAATAATGCACTATAAAGACATTTAGCCATGGCATCCCTTGTTGCAATGGCCTAGAATAAAAATAAAAATAAATTAAATTCAAAGTAAAAATAATTATTTATTTAAAGTACTAAAAATCTTACTTCTGGCATTTTGTAATGGAATATTAAAGTTTCTCCTCTTGTCTTAACATGTTTGCAAGTCAGGGCAGAATTTAAAGTTTCTTCTTTTACCTGAAAACAGTTATATTGAAGTATATTCTTTTTAGTTTTATTATAAAGTAATAAAATAATTAAAAACAAAAACTTCTGGTAATTATATATATTTATAAAATTTTACAGAACTTTTTCTTTATAATATTTTTTGAATATTAATATATTAATTCATATTTCTTTATTATTTTGTTGTTGTTATTATAAGCAACAACCAAAATGATGGAAGCAGCCAGTCCATCATAATACATCTGTTGAGGATATTTTTAAATCTTAAGTCCAATCTCTCACGAAAAACATGTCAGTTTTGTTATGATTCTTACTTAAGGAAGCTAAACAATATCAGACTTAAAAACAAAAAAAAAAAAAAATTATTAAATTTGTTAGAGCAAAATAGCTCAGATATTAGTTTGTTTTTCCCAAAAAGTATCTAAAAGTTGTCTACATATACTAATATAATTTCAAGTTAATCTAAAATCTGAAAAAATCATTTAACATTTGACCCTTGTTCAGAACTAATCACCTCTGATAAAATATTGGCAGAAAAGTAAATATGATTACTTCTAAAACAGCAACATACCCAATTAAATTAAAGAAATGGAAAGAATAAATGAATTTCAATCTTTTCTACCTCCCAAAATATTTATAAATTAATAAATACTTTAATCAACTTTTCATTATTCTATAATAAACAAAAACAACTTAAACTTAATCTATAATTTGTGGAAAGTGAAGTTAAACAAAAAAGAAAAAAAAAAGTTTTATTTAAATTTTATAACTTACCCCAAGTAATTGAGAAATAATGCTAACTGTTGCGGGATTATTTATAACAACAACTTCATCACTATAATAATTGGATTTCTGTGAACAAAATATATACTCTTTTAATTACTAATATTAACAAATATTTTAATCTTAAATTATTAACATAAATAAACTTGTGTGTTTGTTAAATTATACAATTTTACTGATATTTTTAACATTCAATTTAGTTAATGCAGCATTTCTCAACTTTTTTAAACCCAAGGACCAGTAAATGTCTAAAAAATTCTACAGACTACTAAATTACAGTAGAGCGTCGTTTATCTGAAAGTAGGTTATCCGAAAGAATTCCAGTCGACAAATTTAAATTTTTGTTAGTGCTGTGGCGCTGCAATCTTTGGCTATATTTTGGGCTATTTCAATATTTTTTTTGTTGATGTGTGTGTTTTAGCTGGCACCACTAACACTTTAATGTAGTGTTTTTCTGAGGACTATGTGTCGTGCTGAATCAAACGTTTTTGATACTAGATTAACTTCTAAAGTATAATTTTTTTTTTTTATATTTTTCAATATATTTATTTTGTTTGTAAAAAATAAAGAAATAATTTTTAATGATACAATAGCCACGATTATTATTTTAAAAAGTTTACATTAGGCTTAACATTGACAAAAATTCAACACAAAGTGACACGCAACGGAGAAAAATTTCAACATGGGATGGGTTAATATATTTTTTCGTACATAATCGGTTATCCGAACAACCCCAGTCCCTAACTGATTCGGATAAATGATGCTCTACTGTATGTAGATCTAATTTGTTTTAAACCTATGCAGATATCAATATTTGAGACATATTGTGCCATTTATAACATAATAAATCTAAAATCATGTTTTGAATATATATGGAAACATTACACCAACCAAAGCCGAATTATTGGGCTAGACAGGGCTATAATAATAATAATTTATAAGATAATTTGGTATTAGAGTTAGGCGTTAGGTGCCATCTCTTGCTAAATTTAATAATTATNTATTAATAATTAAATGCTAAGTAATTTGACACTAGAAGTAGGTATTAGGTGCTAAATCTTGCTAAATTTAATAATTATAATTTAATTAAATAATTTAGAACTAACTGGGAGAAAAGAATCGGCCTGGAGCAGGACTTGAACCCACAACTCCTGCTAACTGTGCAGACACGTTGCCAATTACACTATCCAGACCTCCAGTCCGATCTCGTCTTCCAGTATATATAAGCTTACATTACGACCATCAATGGCCATTACAATAACGGCTGGGGACACATCAAGCGCCCACGTCCTGTAAACATCTCCCAAGGCACTCAACCGGCCATCACAACCCTGGCAGGGCATATATATATATATAAACAAACTTTAACTAACCCATTGATGAAGTTTGTTTATATGGAAACATAATTAATTAAACTGGAAGTAAGTGAAAAGTGTTAAAAGTGAATCATCATTAAATAAAGATTTAATCTTTATTAATTTAAGTCTGCTTGTGGGCCACCTGTCTCATCATTGCATATCACAGGTTAAAAAACTGATTTAATGTATTACAAATTATCAAGTATAATACTTAAAAATTTATTTTATTTTTGATTTCATTAACATTTATGTTAATAGCACAAATATTTATAGAAGACCATTTTCAAAGTAAGCTGCCCACACCATTTATCAAGGCAGTCCTAAAAATCTTTCTTGTGGTGTGTGATGGTTTTCATAATTGCAGTTTCCACATTTAGCAACTACTAGCAGATAACCCAGCGTTGCTTGGGCAAAAAGTAATGACAGCAAAGATTAAGATTATTACATTACAGCCAATCTTACCCGTTTTCACAGAATGCAAGAATTAGGTTCCCATTTCCAGGCTAATTAGAAAATTTTTAGATGGGTCTAAAATTATGTTCAAAAACTGCATCTGCACCTGTAAATCTTGCATGTTGCTTTCTCTTAACACTTCCATTGTTAAAGCCCTTGTTAAAAATCCCTTGTTAGTGTGCGTTCTTGTGACGTACCCTAAAGCCAGATGAACACATGCGGCGCGGCAAGAAAAAGCAGCAGGATGATGTCACTTTTTCTCACCACAGAAGTCAATTTTGTGCCGCTTTTCTTGTGCTGCAAAAGTTGGTTGAATTTTATCTTTTGCAGCAACCACTGCCAAGATGCATTTCTATCAGCCAATAACAGTTTGTCTGGTAGTAACATGAGAAAATACAATCATGTGGTGTTTTAATGGCAAAAAGTTCGATGTGGTTAACCAAGATAACTAACATCAGAATAAAGAAGAAAGGATAATAAATTTAACACAAATTCTACACAAATAATCATATATAATTTAATTCAAAGAACAAAACAACTGAATCTTACTCGAAATAGTATTCTTTATCGAGGAATAAGTGTATTTTGTACACTAGTTCTTTATCAATCCAAGAAAATATCTCTAATCCAAAATCTTCGACAAAATCTTCTAACTAAATAAAGCAAGCTGTACAAAACAAAATTTGTAAACACGTGGATAGCGACAATATTGATATCGTTCACCATCTTGAATACTGAACGCATGTGCCAAAATGTAAGCAGATTGCCACCGCATGGCAAAGATGCGCTTGCAACACCGCTTTTCCTTGCCGCGCTGCATGTGTGCATCCGGCTTAACAGTGTACCAAATTTCAAGTTTCAACTCCTAACCATGCTGAAATGCTCATATACATGTGTGCCATCTATCATAGGATAAATATACTATGCCAGAAACCTTTGCGGGAGTGTATTAAAAAACTTCCCAAAGTTTCATGGCAATTGGATAAATGGTGTAGTAATGCATGAAGGACTGATGGACAGACATATCTATATATATAAAAATGAATGTAAGTCATTCTCAGTTAATGAATATCTAACCAATATAAGTATAAAAATACTTTCTCAATTTCAATACTTCCTTGATCTTGGTCTGCAGACTTTTATCTGTTTCTAATACACAAGAAGTTAAACAATTGCAGTTCCAATCAACTAGAGATAGAAATCAACTGACAGGAGCTTATGAATACATTAAAAAATAGCTTCCAGGCTGCTTTGACAAAAGGCATGGATACAGTTAGAAATATGTGGCTATAGTAGGAACTTGTTTTGAAAGTCATGTGGTGTAAGTGTGCTGTGCAATAAAACCTGTGCCAAAAGTTCAGTTTATTTTTGACTATTACATTTAAAATTTGTTTCTCAAAACTATATACAGTGGTGCCTCATATAACGTACGCCTCGAATAACGGACACTGCGAACAATGGACTTTCTGTTTGACTGTTACGTGACTCGAGCAACGGACTGGCTGCGAACAACGAACTTTCTGCGAACAAGTGCGAATGATGTTTCCACTCGTTTGCCGTTGCCAATGACAATCTGCTATTTTTATAATACTATATATTAGTATTATTAGAATATATTGATATTATTAGTATATCTGAAGTACAGAGCTCCCGTTGGGATTCGGCTTGCTCTCTTGTTTATTACGTACAGTACATCACCTCAGTGCAGAGGGGTATTTACATTTATTCAAGTGTTGTGCAAATCATGGCTTCTAAAAAACAGAAAGGTGATTTCAATTGAAACAAAGCAAGAAATCGTCAGAAGGAGTGAAAGTTGACAAAAACTTCCTTGTCAAATGGGCAGAGGTTCAGGAGTTTACCAACACTCATTATCCAAACAGAGCTGAGGCCAACAGGATCAATGATCTCTACAATGACACCCTTGCCCGTCATTTCCGACAAGTGTTGAAGAAGAGAGAAACACACCACCTTGGACATGATGTTTTCACGAAGCCAGCTGTCAAAAAACAAAGGATGAAACAAGAGGAGTTTACCCTGCAAGCTCCGGTAGCCTCTTCTAAATCTGACTCCGATTAAAAAACAATAAAGAGAGACCTGCTGTAATGTGTAAAAAGTCTGTATCTGTATGAATGTATCAAAAAAGTGTTCCTTCACCTGCTCACAACATCTGACTACTCGGCATAATTGATGACTGCTCCATTTTCATTTTTTTATGCTGTGGAACAAATTATATGCTTTAACATGTATTTCTATGGGAAAATGCGTTTTTATAACGGACTTTTCACTTAATGGACATGCACCTGGAACGGATTAAGTACGTTATACGAGGCACCACTGTACTTAAGTAATTAAAAATTACACATCAAAACAGATTATTTTCATAATACAGTAGAACCCTGATTATCCAAGATAATATGGATCAATGCTATCCCAAATAACTGAAAACTTAATGAGCAGATTGTCACAGCCATTTTGAATTAAAACTTACAAATATGAAAGATTTATATATGATGTGTCATTTTTTATATCTCTTTATACCTTAATGAATTTGATTATATATAAAAATGATTTTTACATTTATTATACAGCTAACATTTACAATATATATAATAGTTTATATGTATAAACTATTAATACTGTATTTTCACAGAATGACCAGCATGCCACATAAAAACAGGGTTGACTAGCATGCCAGAAACCCCAGGATTACTAACATTCTGGTTAAACTGCGACTAAAATATAAAATTAATTACATCTAACAAAACTAGTTGTTAATTAAACATTAAACAAAAACATTCTTCTACATACAATAAAATAACAACATTGTAATTTGACTGACTTAAAATCAGGAAGAGAGTTTTCATTTACAAGACAATGAAACAATTAACAACTAATTGACATTAACTGTAGTAGTAGTAGTAGTAGTAGTAGTAGGTCAGTGTGGGCTATACAAACAATCTACCCCAAACTTAAAAATAACACTATCCTCTCAAATTTCACACAAAGCCAATGTTAATTGATGTAAGCTGAGATTTGTAAGTTTTACAGCCATTTTCTTAAATTTAATACATTTTTTTTTTCAGTTTTGATAAAACAATAAAACACACACAAAAAAAGCACTTTAGAATTCCAAGAGTATTTTATGTCCTTAGAAAAAATACAAAATGAATAAATTAAACATATAATCGTAGTTTTTGATGTAATGCTGACAGTTTCACAGTTTTAAAATAAAACTCATTCATTTTTACATCATGTAAC